CAAATTCATCACATGCCCTAACCCTAATTCACCCCAATTCGCCTCGAAATGTCGTCATCTTCTAGCTCAGATTCAAGGAGATTGAAATCAGTATGTTTCCATGGAGACGAAGCAGTTATATTCACGTCAAATACCGACCTCAATCCTTGTCGTCGATTCCGACGTTGCGCAACATACAGGTGACTTCGATTTCGTTTTGCAATTTTGTTTTTTATTCAGTTTCGTGCCGATATGACTACAATTGTGCCGCTGTGAGTGCAATTTGGCTTTGTTTTTGTAATTTCATGCGTGGCCGTTCTGATATGAAATGCTGAGTTCAATTTCAAATAACGAGTTCAATTTGATGAAATGAACACAGAAAAGACGAGTGAAATTTGAAATTTCAGTTTATCATATGAGATGAAAACTGAAATTTTTTGCCTTAGTTTTATGGTTTTTCAGTTATTGTGTTTTTTTCTAATTCTAATCCTTGCTTATCTGTATAAGAATGCATGTACATACTTTTCTTGGGTTGATCCGGAGCTTGGACCATTTCAGAAATCATGTTTTCTGAAATGAAGGCTGAGAAGGCATTATTGGAGGAGCAATTAAAATGCAGAGATGTTACTGAAGTAGCATTGGTTGAGAGGCTGAAAATGAAGGAAGATGAACTATTGTATCTTAAATCCAAAGTAAATGAGTTGGAGGAGCAAGTACAAGTCTTGTCCAAGAGAAACAGATTCAGATATCCTATTTTGTGTGTCAGTTGTGTTATTTGTTGTTTTGCTTTTGTTTTTATGGTAAAGAGGAAAATGGTTGACAACCTTTTGTACAAGTCTTGTCCATTAGAACCAATTCTGATGAACTTGGTGTAGGACAACATTTTGTTAAGGAAATTGCAATGTATGTTGTTATCTGAATTTAAGTGTATGCTGCTTTTTTGTAACTTCATTTCGGTTGTTAATGAAATTTTATATTGAATCAGTTTATGTTTTTGATTGGTCGGAAAAAGTGTGTAATTTATATGTTTATTAGCGTATCTTTATATGCTTAAATTTATCGCACTTATATTTTTTTCGACTTATTTATTTATTAGGATGATTCTTGTACTTTGATATTTTTATGGTTTATTTTTAGGATATTGGAGCATTTTCATTAACGGCTACAGAATAAAATAAAGAGAGTCCCGAAATTGGACATTAACGTCATCAAGCCAATATTGGTTAATGAGCCTAATTTGGGCTATTAATTTAATTATTGAGACAAAAGGCCACCAGGATTGTTTTAATTGGAGAATTGAAGCCTAATTAAAGATTGGACTTGAGGGTAAAATTAGGGGAGAGACCACGCAGCCAGGAAGTGAAGGAAAAAAAACCTACGCAGCCAGAACAGAGGAAAATAGAAGCAGCCATATTCACGCACAGCAGCATAAAAGAAAGCCGCAGCCGCTGGGAGAAAGAATAAAAAGAAGAAAACCGCACGGACAGAGGAGAAACCCGATCAATCGCGGAGGGAGGCCGCACCCGTACACGAGGGAGATAATTAATCTCTCTTTCTTTTATCTTTTTATTTTTATTTATTATGTTAGAGTAGTTTTATTTTTAGTTTCGGGGAAGTTGAACCCTACGACTTGATGATGTTTGATTAATATATGGTTGATTATTGAGTTATCTTTTTGGAGTTGTTTGTGTTATTTTGAATAATTAACCATGATGTGTTGAGTCTTATTTAGATTGATCACCTAGATTAGGCTTTACATATCTACACCTGAATTAGGCCTTCAATCTGTAATTGTTGATGTGTTTAATTCGCAAGTGTATCCGGAAGATGGTAACTACCGGGGATAACACGGCCTATTTAAGTGAACAAACGCGTCACTACTTAGCCTAGCCTATTTTTCTAAATCGTAAAGCGGCTAATTGAATTAAATTTAGGAAGCGTTTCCTAGACTGTTCAAGAGGTCAGATTTAATCGTAGAGCGTCTCGCGGTTAGATTAAAAATAAGGAAAAATTCGGGTAACAGACCGTGTCGTTGCCTAGGGCTAGTAATTTCATAAGATAACGAGATTTGATACCATAGTTGATTAGACGAGTCAGTGGAGGGTGTAGACGGAACCGTGAACTAGAAATTTCTCCTAATTTATTTATTTTTATTTTTATTTTATTAGTTTAGATTTTATTTGCTTTAGTTAATTTAGTTCTTAAAATCCAATCCCCCCCTATTTTATTGCTTTTATAATTTCAATTAATACACAAAATATCACAATTTGATTCACACTCCCTTGGGTTCGACCCTTGCTCGCCACTACTACTAGTTAGTAGAGGTTAGTTAAGGAAAATATAAATTTAATTTTGCCGAGTTGCGACGCTCGGTCAGTTTTTGTGTAAGTTCATTTCAGTGTATGTTGGTGTCATATACACAAAAATCCTATAAGCCAAACAAATGTGGTACCTTCAATCATCAGCACATAACAATATGCACAAGCATCTTAAATACCAAACAACCTCAACAAACACCAACTGAAGCATGTTAAAAACAAAAGTCTTGTTGCCATCCTTATAAAATCAAAAGTCACATCCAATCCAAATTCCACAACCAAACATCATCAAATCCAAATCCAAATTTAGATAATACATTGCTAACAACTGCAGCTCCAATCCCACATCAGATCAGAAAACATGAAAAAACACAGAAGTTCAAAACATACATCCCCAAAACCCAAACAACAGTATACAACCATGACAACTAAGAAGGGTTAAAATTGCACACACTCTCTTGTGTCCCCTGATCTCTTGGGCAATTCTTGGATGTTTGTTTCTTTTGTCCAGGTGATGATCCTGCTCTTCTGTTAGGTACAAAGTGAGCTCTATTTTG